CTGAAAGTTCACAAGTGCTCACTGTGCACATTTTCGTCAAAACGAAGATACAGCTTACGTCGACACCTCAAGACACATGCACCCTCGTCTGCCAGGAGTTATGAATGTGCGTTGTGCAGTTTTAAAGTTAGCGGCTTTGACAGCTTCAAAACTCACATAGGCAGTCATGTGACATCCTCGACCAAGTCTTGCACCATCTGTGGAACCGTGATCAGAGAGAGGACAAACTTAATTGAGCATATAATCCGTCATTCCATGGGACAGAAAGCAGCCTGCAGGGACTGTGAGACCATCATTCTCCGATGTCGTAAGTACATGAGTCATGTGTTAAGTCACAAGGCCGGCAGTCAGAACCATGTTTCTCAAGGCGTTTCTCTTGGGCAGAGCACGTCTTCAGCCAGCAGGTCTCTGAGATCTAGTCTGCCATCAAACAAAGGAAAGTCACTCTTGAATAATCTGTCCTTAGAATCAGACCTGTCAGAGTTGTCTGCCCTCATCACCAGATTGTCACAGATGTCAGAAGTGGCCAGTTTCTTCAATGACAAATCAAAACTGGTCATACAACTGGCTGAACTATCAGCTCTAGCTACAGAACTGGCTGTAGCCTCAGGAAATGTCCTGCAGTCCTACAACATGGCTGGCGACATTCTTTGGGAAACACCTGGCCTGGCAGAGTCCATCAAAGCTTTGGATTTATCATTTGTAGAAGAATTTGCACTGTCCTCATTGTTCGGTGCAAATATGGCTGCTGTCAAAGGGGAGTATCCTGCGAACCATTATCCGGCCATGGATACTGACATGCAGATTGAGGTTGACTTTAATGGAGATGCTGTTTCTTGTATCCAGCAGGGTAAGCGTATCCAGCAGGCAGGAGGAGCCCAAGGTCAGAGAAGCAAGCACTTGGTTTGTACCCACTGCAACATGGTGCTGCATGACTTCTGTGGCCTCAAGCGCCATCTGGACATGCATATGGATATCAGGCCTCACATCTGTGACAAATGCGGCCACTCATTTCGCCGTAAGGAGCATCTGAACAAGCACATGATCACTCACTCAGCAGATCGGCCATTTGTTTGCACAGAGTGTCAGTACCGGACAAAGACTAAAGAGCAACTAAAGAACCATATGGCTAACTGCCACTCACAGAACCGAGAATTCCCTTGTCAGCTGTGTAACTACGCTGCAGTGGATAGCTTTGATCTAGGCCTGCACATGAAGCGACATAAACCCCAGACATGCCCACAGTGTGGCTGTGTCTGCTACTCTAGGCGGGAGTTCAATAAACATCTCAGCACCCACTCATCATTAGACTGTACTCAGTGTGAGTTCAGTACTGGGTGCAGAAGAGAGTACAACAGACATATGAGGAAGCACTCGGCTCACTGCTTCAACTGTGAATTGTGTGGCTACACCTGCAACAGCATGAAGTTGTTCCAGTACCACAAACTGAGACATGAAAATAGAACCCCCTACCAGTGTCCCGACTGTGAGTACAAGTGTAGCTCTAGAGCCAGCTATAGATGTCACCGGTATAAGCATGCTGGTCTCAAACCATTCCTTTGCTCCATCTGTGGGGCCTCTTTTGTGAAAACCTCACACCTGAATCGGCACATGCTGATACACAAAGACCTGAAGGAGTTTAAGTGCAGTATGTGCGCCTATAGCTGTCGCACCAAGCATAACCTCAAGGAACATGAGATGACACATACAGGCGAGAAACCATACGTGTGTATGTACTGTAACTTCTCCTTCCGAAGGAAGAAGGCTCTGATGATTCATATGATGAAACATGAGCGATTTTGAGTAAACATCATCTGATGGTTATGTCTGGTGTATTCATCATATCTCCAGGAGACTTGGTTGTTCATCTTATCTCTAGGAGACTCAGTTGTTAATCTTATCTCCAAAAGACTCGGTTCTTCATCTTATCTCTAGGAGACTCGGTTGTTCATCTTATCTCCAGGAGACTCGGTTGTTAATCTTATCTCCAGGAGGCTCAGTTGTTCATCTTATCTCTAGGAGACCTGGTTGTTTATCTTATCTCCAGGAGGCTCATTTGTTCATCTTATTTCCAGGAGATAGATCACAGCCCAGCTTGTATTCGAAAAGGATAGAACCTACCCATGAAAAAATATTAAATTCAAAAGATTATAGAACACATGTAGTGAGATATCTGTGTGGGAAAACTAGAACACTTTTGGGGATATCTGTGCGGAGACTATTAGCACAAGTTGAGATACATGTGTGGGGAGACTAATACACTTGTGGAGATACCTGAGTATGGAAGACTAGAACACAGATGAAGATGCCTGTGTGGGGAGACTAGAACACAGAGGAAGATGCCTGTGTGGGGAGACTAGAACACAGATGAAGATGCCTGTGTGGGGAGACTAGAACACAGATGAAGATGCCTGTGTGGGGAGACTAGAACACAGATGAAGATGCCTGTGTGGGGAGACTAGAACACAGATGAAGATGCCTGCGTGGGGAGACTAGAACACAGATGAAGATGCCTGCATGGGGAGACTAGAACACAGATGAAGATGCCTGTGTATGGAAGACTAGAACACAGATGAAGATGCCTGTGTGGGGAGACTAGAACACAGATGAAGATGCCTGTGTGGGGAGACTAGAACACAGATGAAGATGCCTGTGTGGGAAGACTAGAACACAGATGAAGATGCCTGTGTGGGGAGACTAGAACACAGATGAAGATGCCTGTGTGGGGAGACTAGAACACAGATGAAGATGCCTGTGTATGGAAGACTAGAACACAGATGAAGATGCCTGAGTGGGAAGACTAGAACACAGATGAAGATGCCTGTGTGGGGAGACTAGAACACAAATGAAGATGCCTGTGTGGAGAGACTAGAACACAGATGAAGATGCCTGAGTGGGGAGACTAGAACACAGATGAAGATGCCTGTGTGGGAAGACTAGAATACAGATGAAGATGCCTGTTTGGGGAGACTAGAACACAGATGAAGATGCCTGTTTATGGAAGACTAGAACACAGATGAAGATGCCTGTTTGGGGAGACTAGAACACAGATGAAGAACACAGAGACTAGAACACAGATGAAGATGCCTGTGTGGGGAGACTAGAACACAGATGAAGATGCCTGTGTGGGGAGACTAGAACACAGATGAAGATGCCTGTGTGGGGAGACTAGAACACAGATGAAGATGCCTGCGTGGGGAGACTAGAACACAGATGAAGATGCCTGTGTGGGGAGACTTGAACACAGATGAAGATGCTTGTGTGGGGAGACTAGAACTCAGATGAAAATGCATGTGTATGGAAGACTAGAACACAGATGAAGATGCCTGTGTGGGGAGACTAGAACACAGATGAAGATGCCTGTGTGGGGGACTAGACACAGATGAACACTGTGTGGGAAGACTAGAACACAGATGAAGATGCCGGTGTGGGGAGACTAGAACACAGATGAAGATGCCTGTGTGGGGAGACTAGAACACAGATGAAGATGCCTGCGTGGGAAGACTAGAACACAAATGAAGATGCCTGCGTGGGGAGACTAGAACACTTGTTGATATATCTTTGTGGGGAGGCTAGATCACTTACATCTTCTTTCAGAGAAATCTGGGAGCTAGAAACACAATACTGTCAATACTTGAAACAACTTTCACTTGGTGGGATCAGTTATTAGAAGCTTTTGTCTTCTTCAGCCATCAGCATTTGTTGTAAGTGAAAACCAACATTTTGTCAGCTGTTGAATCAACTGTCTGTCAGAAGTCAGCTTAATGAGGTTGTAAGAAGTGACACAGAGGTAGATAACAGTCCTTAGATCCAGCTAGGAACCCTTGATATTTTAATAAACAGTTGCACTTTTGAACCGCACATCACCAGTCCACAAAAATTAATCCATAACCTGCAGAACACAAAAAAACATGTGGCTTGATCAGTTGCCATGGAGACCCCTTTTGTTTGTGGGAATGATGCAGCCACTAAGTTGCCACCTGATAGTGGTGGTTGCAACAAACATAGCCCTCTTGCTGCGGTTGAGGTGTTTCAGTACAAAGATGTTTTGTATATGTTCCTATTTGTGAACATGATCATCATTGGACTTTCTCATCTCCACAGTGTCAACTGGGCAGACGTGTCTGAGTCCTGTCGAGGTTTCACCAGCATGCAGCAGCCACAGTTGTTGGGACAAGAGTGCCTCTCAGTGAGGCTGAGACAAGTGTGCCTCTCAGCTAGTGAAGTTGAGACTCTGCTGCCTCAAAGTTAGTGACCTTAAAAAAAAGCCTGCCTCTGTGCTTGTAGGCTGGAGCTTGAGCACTGTGTATTCTACTGTAGTGAGTCTGATTTCATCTTTCAGTCTGCATACGAAATTGCAGGATAGTCTCATTTTGTCTGGTTGTTGTATGGACAGGATTGCTGGATGTTGTATAGACAAGGTTTTAGGATTGCCTCATGTCTGGTTGTTGTATAGACAAGGCTGCAGGATTGCTTCATCTCTGATTGTTGTATAGACAGGGCTGCAGGATTGCCTTATCTCTGATTGTTGTGTATACAGGGCTCAAGATTGCCTCATCTTTGGATGTTTTATGCACACGGCTGCAGGATTGCCTCATCTTTGGATGTTTTATGCACACAGCTGCAGGATTGCCTCATCTTTGGATGTTTTATGCACACGGCTGCAGGATTGCCTTATCTTTGGATGTTTTATGCACACGGCTGCAGGATTGCCTCATCCTTGGATTTTGAAAGACAAGTCTGCAGGGTTGCTTCGTCTCCTGATGTGATGAATACAATATTGTTTGATGTTTGGCTAAAAGATTAGATATACTCCACTATTACACTTGAAATATTTTTACAGAGAAGAACGTACCTTTGCCATTTTTACACATCCTCCCTCCTTCCCCACAATTTGTGTGGTATAAGTGTTGTAGTAAAACATTGTGATTATATAGACAGTGTGGGAATCAAATGATCGACCTATTTATGGCTTAGTGACGACACATTCTCTGTTTGAAATGGAGGACAGGTCATTGTATGGCAACAGCAGCCGATCTCCAGGACCCAGTGACAGAAGACCTGCTGTAGACAGTGCTGTCTCTTTTCCTGGATCCAGTGACCAAAGACTTGCCGTAGACAGTGCTGTTTGTTTTCCTGGACAAGGACAACATTGGCACAACAACATTATCCCACAGTCATTGTCTAGAAGTGTCAATTATTGCCCAGATTCTTCTTTTGAGAGGCACTTCAACTATCTGGAGACTACACAAGGTGAACGTGTTCAGTATCGTACTTCAGCTACGGATCTGACAAACTCTGGATATCCACAAGGTGCTCCTGTGGATTTTTCAGGAAGACCATGTTTTCCGGGGATGCCTAGCACTTGGAGTGTGCTGTCTCCAATGTCAGACCGCATACAGCAACCGTCACATTATGCTACGACATATATGTGTGTGAATGAAAGGGCAGAGTTTGCATTTCCGACTGCTTCAAAGAATCAGCAGGAAAGGAATGAAACAGCAGCAGCCATTGACAGAGACAGTCATTTGTTGAAGGATGTCGGAAGTAGATGTGTATTGTCCGAAAGGTGTGATGTGTCAGACTGGGGTCATACTGGGTCAAGGCCAGCAGTGACTGGCAAATTGCAGAATAAATTTGTGGATTCAAAAGAGCAAAGTGTCACAGATACAAGTAAAGACGGAATTGGAAAAAATGAAGATGAAACAGATAAAGATGGAGCTTATAAAGGTAAATTTGTGACTGGAACAGATAGAGATAAAGATGGAACTGTAAAAAATGAAGATGGAGCTTATAGAGGTAAAGGTGTGACTGGAACATATAAAGGTAAAGATGTCACTGGAAAAAAAGAAACTAATAAAGATGTGACTGGGAAAGATAAAAATGGATCTGATAAAAAAGAAACTGATCTAGATAAGAACTCTAAGGCTATAGATGCCAGTGCGACACAACAAAACAATGTGAATGTGCCAGGCAACATCTCGAACAGTAATTTGTCAGCTGACGAAACCACAGATGATGAAGATAAGGACCATGAGGATTTAGACAGTGATGACAGTCAGAACAGTTCTAAGGATGAGAAAGATGGAAAAGAGATGCAGTGTTCAGATCAGTCGTCAGTTGATGGAGCAGTCGATGATGTGGTATCAGTTGACGGAGAAGATCATAATGAGGATGTGGTATCAGTTGACGGAGAAGATCATGATGAGGATGTAGTAATAGTTGGGTTGGTAGAGCAACCACCTCCAGTGGAAGACTCTAGCAGGTTTCAGTGTTCACTGTGTCAGAATTCTTACAAGTTTAAGAAAGGATTGAACAGACACTTGAAGAAAACTCACCCAGGTCAACTCTCTGCCATCTCTAAGCAAGGTCAGCTGATGGGCAGTGTCTCTTTCAAGGATGCCAGACCCCACGGCTCCAAAACACAGGCAGCAGATGGTACACACCTTGAAGTCACCTACGGCAGCGACTCTTCTGTGCGTGCATTTTCCTGTTCGCAGTGCTCGTACAAAGCAAAGAAGAGAAAAGATTTGAAGAAACACATGGTTGTACACTCCACTCTGAAAGTTCACAAGTGCTCACTGTGCACATTCTCGTCAAAACGAAGATACAGCTTACGTCGACACCTCAAGACACATGCACCCTCGTCTGCCAGGAGTTATGAATGTGCGTTGTGCAGTTTTAAAGTTAGCGGCTTTGACAGCTTCAAAACTCACATAGGCAGTCATGTGACATCCTCGACCAAGTCTTGCACCATCTGTGGAACCGTGATCAGAGAGAGGACAAACTTAATTGAGCATATAATCCGTCATTCCATGGGACAGAAAGCAGCCTGCAGGGACTGTGAGACCATCATTCTCCGATGTCGTAAGTACATGAGTCATGTGTTAAGTCACAAGGCCGGCAGTCAGAACCATGTTTCTCTTGGGCAGGGCACGTCTTCAGCCAGCAGGTCTCTGAGATCTAGTCTGCCATCAAACAAAGGAAAGTCACTCTTGAATAATCTGTCCTTGGAATCAGACCTGTCAGAGTTGTCTGCCCTAAAATCCAGATTGTTACAGATGTCAGAAGTGGCCAATTTCTTCAATGACAAATCTAAACTGGTCATACAACTGGCTGAACTATCAGCTCTAGCTACAGAACTGGCTGTAGCCTCAGGAAATGTCCTGCAGTCCTACAACATGGCTGGTGACATCCATTGGGAAACACCTGGCCTGGCAGAGTCCATCGATGCTTTGGATTTATCATTTGTAGAAGAATTTGCACTGTCCTCATTGTTCGGTGCAAATATGGCTGCTGTCAAAGGGGAGTATCCTGCGAACCATTATCCGGCCATGGATACTGACATGCAGATTGAGGTTGACTTTAATGGAGATGCTGTTTCTTGTATCCAGCAGGGTAAGCGTATCCAGCAGGCAGGAGGAGCCCACGGTCAGAGAAGCAAGCACTTGGTTTGTACCCACTGCAACATGGTGCTGCATGACTTCTCCAGCCTCAAGCGCCATCTGGACATGCATATGGATGTCAGGCCTCACATTTGTGACAAATGCGGTCAGTCATTTCGCCGTAAAGGGCACCTGAAGAAACACATGATCACTCACTCAGCAGACCGGCCATTTGTTTGCACAGAGTGTCAGTACCGGACAAAGACGGAAGACCAGCTGAATAGTCACATGACCTTCTGCCACTCACAGAACGGGGAGTTTCCTTGTCAACTGTGTAACTATTCAGCCTCGGACAGCTTTGAACTTGGCCTGCACATGAAGAAACACAAACCCCAGACATGCCCACAGTGTGGCTGTGTCTGCTACTCTAGACAGGAGTTCAATAAACATCTCAGCACTCACTCGTCATTTGACTGCACTCAGTGTGAGTTCAGTACTGGGTGCAGAAGAGAGTACAACAGACATATGAGGAAGCACTCGGCTCACTGCTTCAACTGTGAATTGTGTGGCTACACCTGCAACAGCATGAAGTTGTTCCAGTACCACAAACTGAGACATGAAAACAGAACCCCCTACCAGTGCCCCGACTGTGAGTACAAGTGTAGCTCTAGAGCCAGCTATAGATGTCACCGGTATAAGCATGCTGGTCTCAAACCATTCCTTTGCTCCATCTGTGGGGCCTCTTTTGTGAAATCATCGCACCTCAGCCAGCACATGCTGATACACAAAGACCTGAAGGAGTTTAAGTGCAGTATGTGCGCCTATAGCTGTCGCACCAAGCATAACCTCAAGGAACATGAGATGACACATACAGGCGAGAAACCATACGTGTGTATGTACTGTAACTTCTCTAGCCGCCGGAAGAAGGCCCTGTTAATTCATATGATGAAACATGAGCGATTTTGAGTAAACATCATCTGCCAGTCATTTCTGGTGAATTCATCTAATCGCTCTGAGACTCAGTTGTTCATCTTATCACCGTGTAAGTACATTTTTTAGAACAGGACTGGTAGACCAGCTCACCTTTTAAAATATGAGACAACCTACCCAATTTGGCTGGAACACTGTTGGAGATCTTTGTCTGTCAGGGAATGTGCAGACAGACACACTGTTGGAGATCTTTGTCTGTCAGGGAATGTGCAGACAGACACACTGTTGGAGATCTGGTGGATAGCATCCTGAAGCTTGGTGAAAAGCTGGCAACACACACAATCATCTTCAGGATTGTGTCTGTGCTGTGTGAAGTACTCACATCAAACAGACAACACACACAATCATCTTCAGGATTGTGTCTGTGCTGTGTGAAGTACTCACATCAAACAGACAACACACACAATCATCTTCAGGATTGTGTCTGTGCTGTGGGAAGTACTCACATCAGACAGACAACACACACAATCATCTTCAGGATTGTGTCCATGCTATATGAAGTACTCACATCAGACAAGGCAATGCACACAATCATCATCATGTGGGAACAGATAAGCTGGATTCAGGACAGGTCATTATCAAGATATGGTCTGTCAGTGTGATTGCGGTGTCTGCATAACTACACACTGACCAGTCAGTGACCATCTGCTACTATCCACATCTACAGGCTGACCAGTCTGTGGCCATCTTCTGGTGTCCACATCTACAGGCTGACCAGTCAGTGGCCATCTTCTGGTGTCCACATCTACAGGCTGACCAGTCAGTGGCCATCTTCTGGTGTCCACATCTACAGGCTGACCAGTCAGTGGCCATCTTCTGGTGTCCACATCTACAGGCTAACCAGTCAGTGGCCATCTTCTGGTGTCCACATCTACAGGCTGACCAGTCAGTGACTATCAGCTAGTATCCACATCTACACACTGAATAGTCAGTGACCATCTTCAAGTGTCTACATATACACACTGACCAGTCAGTGACCATCTGCTAATGTCAACATCTACACTTTGACCAGTCAGTGACAATCTGCTAATGTCAGCATCTACAGACTGACCAGTCAGTGACCATCTGCTAATGTCAACATCTACACTTTGACCATTCAGTGACAATCTGCTAATGTTCACATCTACAGACTGACCAGTCAGTGACAATCTGCTAATGTCAACTTCTACAGACTGACCAGTCAGCAGCCATCTGCTAATGTTCACATCTACAGACTGACCAGTCAGTGACAATCTGCTAATGTCAACTTCTACAGACTGACCAGTCAGCAGCCATCTGCTAATGTTCACATCTACAGACTGACCAGCGAGTGACCATCTGCTAATGTCCACATCTACAGACTGACCAGTCAGTGACCATCTGCTAATGTCCACATCTACAGACTGACCAGTCAGTGACCATCTGCTAATGTCCAGATATACACACTGACCAGTCAGCTACCATTTGGTAATGTCAAAATTTACACATTGACCAGTCAGTGACAGTCTGCTAGTGTCACATCACAGCCTGGTACTTGTGCCACCCAACTTGGTACCTGTGCCACCCAACTTGGTACCTGTGCCACCCAACTTGGTTCCTGTGCCACCCAACTTGGTACTTGTGCCACTCAAGCATGTGCCAGGTTTCTGTATATATTTGTGTCAAATGTGTTTCAGTTGTGGCACAATAACAGTAAATCAGAATTACAGAAAGGGAAAGAACTGGTGTTGTCAGGTATGTAACACACAGTTTCCTGGGAGTGTCAGATGTTTTTCTGTATACAATTGTGTTGTCCACCCATCACTTGAGAGAGTGGACCCCCCCCCCCCCCCCCCCCATCAGATTCTATGATTATGTGGATGAAGAAAACTGATGTTCTTGATGTGTCCCGCAATATCCTCCAGTGCTGGGCTCCACAGATTTGCTAGTGGAGCTGTTTGCCACTGGAAGTTTGAAAGTTGATGTCCTAGCTTTGCTTGCTGTCTGCTGCTTCAGGGATGGCTGCCACGGGATGAGCAAGTCTGCCCCAACCACACAGATCTGGGACAAAATTTCCTCATATGTCCTTGTTGATGCTGAGGCATTTGTTTCAGCTGAATTAAAGACGTTCTTGAAGCTTTTTGATTGCTGCTGCTGTAGTTCATCATCAAATATTCTCTTTGGATAATGGTGGGTGAGCATGAGGCCGGGCTATAAACAAGTAATTCAGCTTATCTGTATGTGGCTGGTACACTGTCCCAGTTGTGTATGTGGCTAGTACAATGTCCCAGTTCTGTATGTGGCTGGTACACTGTCCCAGTTGTGTATGTGGCTGGTACAGTGTTCCAGTTTTGTATGTGGCTGGTACAATGTACCAGTTGTGTATGTGGCTGGTACAATGTACCAGTTGTGTGTGTGGCTGGTACAGTGTACCAGTCGTGTGTGTGGCTGGTACAATGTACCAGTTGTGTATGTGGCTTGTATAATGTCCTAATTGTGTGTGTGGCTGGTACAGTGTCCCAGTTGTGTGTGTGGCTGGTACAGTGTACCAGTCGTGTGTGTGGCTGGTACAATGTACCAGTTGTGTATGTGGCTTGTATAATGTCCTAATTGTGTGTGTGGCTGGTACAGTGTCCCAGTTGTGTGTGTGGCTGGTACAATGTCAAGGTTTTGCACATATAGAGCGGTATTGGTGACACTGATGCTGTGTTCACATTTAGATTTATCTGCAGGATGGGCCATGTCTGTAGCAGATGTTGGTGACACTGATGCTGTGTTCACATTTAGATTGGGCCATGTCTGTAGCAGATATTGGTGACACTGATGCTGTGTTCACATTTAGATTGGGCCATGTCTGTAGCAGATATTGGTGACACTGATGCTGTGTTCACATTTAGATTGGGCCATGTCTGTAGCAGATTTTGGTGTTAAGATTGTCAGACATGCTGCTGGCTAGTGAGATTCTGGCATTGATGGCGACTCTAGAGATGGAATGCTGCCCAGTGTGGGAATCTGTCCATGCTTTGTTGCCAGCGGTTGACTTGTTGGGCTCAGTCCAGGTTGTTACTTGCCTCAGCCAGTTGATGAGTTATATTGTGCCCTCCTTACCAATGGTGAGCCCAAAGTTGCTAGAGGCTTTAGACAATCATCAGGAGCTTGAGTTTAGCATGCATTCATCAGGAGCTAGAAGAGGGCAGTCATCAGGAGCTAGAGCTTAGACTGCAGTCATGGGGAGCTAGAGATTAGAGTGTAGTCGTGGGGAGCTAGAGTTTAGAGTGCATTCATCAGAGAGCCTAGAATGCATTCATCGAGAGCTAGAGCTTAAAGTGCGGTCATCAGGAGCTGGTATTTAAGAGTTCAGTCATCAAGAGCTAGAGTTTAGATACAGTAATTGAGAGCTACAGTTTAGAGTGCAATTATCAGGAGCTAGAGTTAAGTTGCAGTCATCGAGAGCTACAGTTTCGATGCAGTCATCGGGAGCTAGAGTTTAGAGTGCAGTCATCTGTTGCTAGCATTTAGAGTGCAGTCATAAATCTCTCTGTGTAACTACCTATATGCTGACCAGTGGAGTGCAGAACTAGCCTCCCTAAATGTCAGCATGTTCTGGTAAAATGACAACATGTTCTGGTTAAATGACAACATGTTCTGGTTAAATGACAACATGTTCTGGTTAAATGTCAGCATGTTCTGGTTAAATGACAACATGTTCTGGTAAATGACAACATGTTCTGGTAAATGACAACATGTTCTGGTTAAATGTCAGCATGTTCTGGTTAAATGACAACATGTTCTGGTAAATGACATGTTCTGGTTAAATGACAACATGTTCTGGTTAAATGTCAGCATGTTCTGGTTAAATGACAGCATGTTCTGGTTAAATGACAACATGTTCTGGTTAAATGTCAGCATGTTCTGGTTAAATGACAACATGTTCTCGTAAATGACAACATGGTCTTGTTAAATGTCAGCATGTTCTGGTTAAATGACAACATGTTCTGGTAAATGACATGTTCTGGTTAAATGTCAGCATGTTCTGGTTAAATGTCAGCATGTTCTGGTTAAATGTCAGCATGTTCTGGCATTGGTTGTCTCCTGGTGTTTTCCAAATCATCGCACATTTCTGTCAGTACCTGTGCCTTCCTACATGACTTCCTTATGCCCCTGTTGTTGCAAATGTTGGCATGGGTGCAGGAATTGCTGTACTAGAAATCCGGATGTGTTGGGCTTGCAACAAACCCAGAGCCAGGAGACAGTACATCTGTGTCAGAGTTTATTGCTGTGTTGTACTGTTGTGATCTGTGTCAGAGATTGATTGCTGTGTTGTACTGCTGTGATCTGTGTCAGAGTTTGTTGCTGTGTTGTACTGTTGTGATCTGTGTCAGAGATTGTTGTTGTGTTGTACTGTTGTGATCTGTGTCAGAGATTGTTGCTGTGTTGTACTGTTGTGATCTGTGTCAGAGATTGTTGCTGTGTTGTACTGTTGTGATCTGTGTCAGAGATTGTTGCTGTGTTGTACTGTTGTGATTTGTGTCAGAGTTTGTTGCTGTGTTGTACTGTTGTGATCTGTGTCAGAGTTTGTTGCTGTGTTGTACTGTTGTGATCTGTGTCAGAGATTGTTGCTGTGTTGTACTGTTGTGATCTGTGTCAGAGATTGTTGCTGTGTTGTACTGTTGTGATTTGTGTCAGAGTTTGTTGCTGTGTTGTACTGTTGTGATCTGTGTCAGAGATTGTTGCTGTGTTGTTGCTGTACTGTTGTGATCTGTGTCAGAGATTGTTGCTGTGTTGTACTGTTGTGATCTGTGTCAGAGTTTGTTGCTGTGTTGTACTGTTGTGATCTGTGTCAGAGATTGTTGCTGTGTTGTACTGTTGTGATCTGTGTCAGAGATTGTTGCTGTGTTGTACTGTTGTGATCTGTGTCAGAGATTGTTGCTGTGTTGTACTGTTGTGATCTGTGTCAGAGTTTTGTTGCTGTGATTTGTACTGTTGTGATCTGTGTCAGAGATTGTTGCTGTGTTGTA